CTATCAAAAATTTAATTTTAATAAAATTTGTATTACAAATGGATTGGAAGATAATTTAACGATAGTAATACATCAAGGAAATTAATTTAATTCTTTTATTGTTGTGTGGTCTTAAAAATCACTCATTTAAAAATCTTTTGAAACCTCAAATTGATTCTTGCACATAAAACTTGAAAAATATTTTCAAGTAAAAAACGTATCGGTATTACATACATTTTACGATTGTGCACATAAAAAAATCATTTATAAATATGATCCGTTGTACAAATAATAAGCTATAAAAAAGTGTTCATTATTTTTACATAAATAATTATAATATTAAAAATAAAAGCTTAATCTCACTAATATAAATACATTTCATTTTCAAGTAGATAGACAAAAAAATGTTCACAAAAATGTAAGACGACATTAGACACTTGAGCTACTTATTTGATAAAGCGGCAGTGATGACTTCTAAAACTTCAATCGCACAACTAACAGGCAGTGACTGCGTTTTTTTTTTACGTACGCGTAAAAACCTACCACAAAAATTGAATTTGATACATACATTTAGCGACTACGTTTCTTCGTAAGACAAGTGAACATACTTGTCTTAAAGTCTTTTCTTTTAGTTCTTAAAAAGAACTTTTAGTTTGTTTTGTTAAATCGCGACATTCAAATTGTTTACTACACTTGGCGGTCAAAAAATTTCTATAAATAATCTTATTTGTCAAACATATATATTTTTCTTGGTAATATCGTCTAAAAACGTAATAAATATCTCGCACTCTTTATTTTGCTTTTATTTGATTAGTCTTTTTAGTTTTGGCTTCGATTCTGTCCTTTAATTTATCAACCAGACCATTCAGTTCACTCTGTAAAATAATAATGCCAATAAATATATTTTGCTTGTACGAGACTTAAAGAACCTTAAATGGGAGTAACTTACCTCACTATATGTATACATGAGTGTGCAGTTCTTTATAACTTGCTTTTTATTTTCTATATACTGTATGGCATGCGTTAAGCACAAAATACTTCCGTCCAGGGGGTTGCTTAACAATGATACGAACAAGTTTGCTCGACAAGTATCACATTCATAATCAATTTCCTCCTTTTTTGTCTTTTTACCCTTTCCTTTCTTATCGTTACTTGGCAGCGGTACTCTTTCATTATTCATGAGACCTAGTTCCCTCAACTTTTTGCGATTTTCTATTTCTTTATTACAAATTTTAATAACAGTCGGTAAAATCTAGAAATGAATAAAATGTCCATTAATATCCAACCACATTAATGCGATCCATCGAGTAGGGCGTGAACTTACCTGTTTAAGTACATCAATATGAGACTTTAAATCATTAATAACGCTAAATAACAGTCTTTCAAACGAAAAAATCGTGGGCTCGCAGCTATTATGTATATCCTGCAAAAAAAAAAAAAATCATCAATTTCAAAAGTGACAAATGAACGAAAAGTATATGAATAAATTCAAAGCATACTTGAAATACTTGTTCAGCCGTTTCTAGCCAAGAGGGTTGGGCAAAGTACACACTCTCAGACACAACATAACCCGTGCACACGCTCGAGGTAAAAGCCTTGGGAAAGACAACGATAAACTGACCCGGCTCTTGGACCGTCTGGCACAGCGGCACGTCATTGCTCACCAGCATATCCGGTGGCACCATGGCCGTGTCGGATGGCAGCCAAATCGTCTTGTTCTTGCAATAGCGCGGAAACATCTTAGTGAGGGCTTTGCGGAACGCGTTGTTCTGCTCGTCTGGTATACCGTACCAGATCTTCTTGGCTCCGGTGTGCAAGTACTCGATCCAGGGCAGACCGTGAGGATCTCTGTACCAGCAGCACGCACTGAAGAGCATGCCGACGTGTAACGTTGGTACGGTCACACCCATTTGGGGACCCAAGGCGCGTAGTACCGAGCCGGCGTTGTTCGTCAGGACCTTTAGATTCCAAGGGTGACGAGCAAACGGGCTGTTTTTCATCACAGAAAAACCGAAACCGTGGCCGCTCGAGTCGATACTGGCCGCGTGCACGCACACGTGGCGCTTCTTCTCGACCACGTGCTTCCAGAAGGCTGATTCTACCTCGGTGGCTGATGCGCCCTCGGTTTCACACGTCACTTGATCCTTGCCGTTGTCACCGAACCACATGCGCTGGGTGTTGCGTGCAATCCTATAGAACGCGTTCAATGGCATGTTGCGACCCTACAATTGACAGAAGATTATTGTTTTATGTCCTCCTTTCAGGGCGTAAAAATTTTCGTGTGCGCAAGCATACCTTCACTATACATTCTTCAAACTCCTCCAAGCTTTCCTCGTCATCCTCGTCTTCCGTATCATTGGATTGCGTTTCTTGTCTATCTCGCCTTTCCCTCTTTTGCCAAGCTGCCTCGACATCTTTAAACACCTTATTCCTTTCATCTGTTTGTTTGAAAAATTCATGTTTAATACAAGAAAATTGGAAACGCTTTTAAAATATTTGCAAGCCTAAATGTTGAAGCCCAACCTTGTGATAGCATATCGTAAGGTAGTAGATATTTGCAATAGATGTCGTCCAACTTGGTGACTCGATCTTGAGCTGATTTTGGAATCTTCATGGCATCAGCCACTTTTTGCCATTTCTTTTTCTCAATAACTTCCTTCAGTCCACCCAAGGTCTGCACAGTTTGATACAAGTATGGAAGATCGATTTCCATGCCACCTATCTAAAATTTTAACTTATTTTGTTAATTATCCATGGATTGATTATGGGGATAAATGGCGAGACCGCCATATACGTACAAACGGTGGTTGAGTGAGGGAGATACTTTGCGTGATTAAATATCTTTTCATGGCCATCATCTCTTTTACATTTGGACCCCAGCGATTCAGCATCCGGTGGACATATTGATTGTAAGCCGTGAACCGCATGTCGTCGGATACTTTACACTCGGGCTGCAAATAAATGTTATCGGTACAGTCTTTCGAATGATGGGATGGTTGTCCTTTCCAACGATGATACACAAATTTACCTTGAAATACGAGGGAGGAACTACTTTGCAGATACCGAACTTTTCCGCGATCGGGCGAATCTTGTCGATGTACTCAAGCGGGTCCTTGAATTCCTTAGCCGAAGGATGAAAGACCGGAGCTTCCACGAGACGAGCCGGCTCGTTGGCATCTTTCGTCTTTGGAAACGTGGTGTCGTTCACCGGCAGACTCACTTCGAGATTTTTCGTTTTCGCGTGGCTTTTCTTGCTTCCGGTTTTACATTCATCGATCGATGCCTTTCTTTCCCGAGCTTTTGGCAACTTGATGGCTTTCTCCGAGCTCTTGATCTGTAAATTCAGGAAATATGTTTAGTTTCGAGAAGTACTTGGCATTCCCATAGTTGAATCAAAAACTCAGACTACTAACACTCTGTTTGCTCCCAAGGGTCGCAGTCTTGTTTCCCCTATCGCTGTTGGGCGTTTGAAACTTGAGGTCCGCGTCTTCGGTTTCAACCGCCGAGGTCGACGGCAGATCAGCCTGATCGGAGGTGGCAGTCTGAGGCGCCCTCGCCGTCGGCTGAACCGTACCGATCGGCGGACACCTGGCCACCGATATCGGTGGCTTCGTCACGAGTTTTGCCTTCAGCAATACTCGCTGGTTGGGGCCCGTTGGTCCCTCGGTGCCCAGCTTCACGGCCACGCCTTGTATTAGCTGCTGGCCACCCTGAGCAGACGCGTTGCGCGTAACCGCTTGCAAGGGTATGTAAAACAATTGCCCGCTGTTGTCGTCGTCGTCGTCGTCGTTGTTGGTGTCGGCGGCAGCGTTGTTGGCACCGTCAGTTTGGGTTGAGATTTCGGTACTCCGTTGGCTGGCACTGGACTCACCCGCGTGGCTCTCCGCTGTTGTCGTGCGCTGTTGCTGTTGCTGCTTCGTTGCGTCGTCGAGATTAACCTGAACGGCTATCGAGGCGCTACAACTTACGGCGCTCCAGCTTGTGGTTAGCTTGTCTAGTGGCAACACTTGTATGTTTGTTAGGTCGGCGAAGTTTTTCGGAAGCTCGAAGTTCTTTGGAGTGGTGGTTCTTTCTAACAGCGGAGGCGACTTTTCTTCGTCCCTCCGAGCTTCCTCTGGCGAGTTTAAAGGCTCGGTTGCTTTTTTCGTCGTGTCCTCGACACTACTACAACTACTCTTGCCCTGCTTCGCTTCGCTGCTACTGCTTGTTGTTGCAGTTGCTGCTGTTGTTTGCGTACTTGGCTCTTTATCTTTTTCTGCAACTAAATAAATCTCGCGTTATTTCTATGCGTGTACATTTACGATGTTGGTAAAAAAAAAAAAAAAAAAAATAATAAAAAAAAAATATGTACTATCGGGTGAGTCTTTAGTGGCGGACTGATTCCGCGCCTTCCTGCGAAAGGGCGTGCTGACGGGTGCCTCGGCCTCGCTCTCGAAAGCGTACACGCTGCTTTCGTTTTCGGGTGAGAACGCACTGCTGCTCGAGGGCTGCTTTCGCTCCTTGAACTTGGGCAGGAAGGGCTTGCGCTGGTGAAAAAAAACCTTCTTTTCCGGGCTGATAGACGATTTCTTCTCCGACGAGTCGGCCGTCGAGTTGGCATCCGATTTCGAGACTACGTCGCTTTCCGCTGGAAATTACGTGGTTTTTCTCATGTTATGTTTGATTATATACAAATGCTGGTTTCTCGTAGAGTCGGCCAATACAAACCGGCATCATCGCCGAGGGACGAGTCCTTGCTCATCTTGCGGCTGGGCGGTGAGCTGGGCAGTGTTTGCTCTTTCTTATCCTTGGCGATGTCCAGCTGAGTAGTCGGCTTGGGAACAACGGTCTTGGCAACCGCGATGGGCAGCTGCGGTCTCACGGAGGTCACCTGGTTGCTCGAAAAAAAGGCCGAGGGTACCTTGCCGAGCGGCGCCGTCGCGGCCCTCTTCAGACGGTCCGTCAGCTTGGACAGGGTCACGTTGACGGGCCGCACGAGGTGCTGGATCTTCGGGGAGATCGAGAGGTGGCTGACCGGCGGCTCCTTCCTTTCCGGCTTAGCGGCTGGTGGTGCGGGCATCAAGTCGAACTTGAAGCTCGACACGCTCTCCATCTCTACCTTGCTCTCCTCCTTTGCCAGGGAACTCTCATTCAGCCACTTTTCGATCTGCTCGGTCGACATGTTGACGCGCTCCTTGCGCCCGTGGTGGTTCAGGTCCTTTGGTATGTCGATGATGTTGAGCGCCATCGCCGCCGGGGACATCTTCGAGGTTTTGTCGAACTGCTCGTCAAAGACACATTTGTAGTTTTTCTACGTCTCAAAATTTTGAAAAAAAAAAAAAAATAAAAATAATATTTCTAGAAAGCCACACACTACCTTCAGCTCCCCAAAGTCAGGCTCGAGCTTCACGGAAGCGTTGGCCGCGGTGCTGTTGGTCGTGCCGCTGCCCATCAACTGCTCCTGGAGAGGCTTGACGCACGTTATCGCCGAGCTCTTGACGTCCTTGAGACCAGACGCCGCCAGCACGTTGGCTTTGCTGTCGATGTCCTCGACGTTGGGTTTGATCTTCGAGATGGCTTTTTTGGCGAAGCCGCGGAACAGCGACTCCTCGTCGTCCGAGATTTTGGTCGGGGCTGCGCTCTTCTCGACCACTACAGTCTTGGTGACCGGCGCATCCAACGTCAGCACCGTCGTCGCTGTCGAAGTTGTAATCGTCGTGGACACCGTCGTCGTCGTCGTTGTCTTGGCAGTTTTTGGCTCGGCCGGTTTTTTAACCGAGGCCTCGACGGTGTTGTTCTCCTCCTTCTCGGCCTCTCTCTTCTTCCTCTTCAGCTTGTCCAGCAGCGCGCCCAGACTCTCTTCCTCCTCGGACTCTTCCTGGGCCTCGACGGCAGGCTTGCTCTTGTTCTTCGACACCTTGGGGCCGTCCTTTTCTTTTTCGCTCGGAGCGGGCTCTCGCCTGCGCTTGACCCCAGTCTTGCTTTCCTGATCACCTTGTTCCCTGTCGATGCTTTTCGCGACACCCTGGCTATCCGGACTTTTAGCCGCGGGTAGTTGATGGGCGCTGGGCTCGCTCTGCTGGGGTGCCGGAGCCGGCTGGGTTGGTGAGATTTTCTCCTTGGCAGTCCTGGCGGTGAGACTTCGGCTCGATCTCAGGCTACGGTTCTCGGATTTTTTGGTGTCCTTGGGGACGCTCGAGGGAGCCGATCGTCTGGTGACGGTGGGGGTTGGTTTCGCCTCCTCGCTCGTCTCCTTCGAGCTGATCGACTCGTCGTCGCTGTTCAGCTCGCAGTACTTTTGCACCTTCACCGGCCGCTTGTTTTTCAACTGTGCAACGGCGGGCTTGGTGGTGAGCTTCTTTTTCAGCGGTTTGCTCGTGGCGGCGGTGACGGTTGTTGTAGGTGATGCAGTGTTGCTGCTACTTTTTTTTTTTTTTTTTTGTTTTCCCCAAGCATACAAAATATTTTATAGACTTTGAGACTTTGAGCGTTTCGAGATACGTGCACGCATTGTGTTGTTGGAGAAAAAAATAAAGTAGTATGGGTTTCACAGTGTTCCAGACTTATTTATTCATAGGAATGGTTTTTCCAACAGAAATGGTAACAATTACTACATTACACAAGCAATATATAAATATATATGTATGATAAGTATACATTTATCTGGATTACAGTATCAAAAGTAAATCTTTAGTTTGTTTTTTTTTTTTTCATCACAATGGCAAATAAAAATCAGAAAGTAGAGAAGAGTATGAAAGTATTGCAGAAATATATACGGTTTTTAAAATACATTCAGCTTTCATTTTTTTTCTACTTTTCTAAGTATCTGAGCAAGACAATAAAATAAGTATAGAAAAACCTTATGCCTAATGACAAAAAAAAAAAAAAAAAAAAAAAAAAAAAAAAAAAAACAGCAAACCTTAAAAACCCCCCTTTTAAAAAAAAAAAAAAAAAAAAAAAAAAAAGGAAACAGTACAGCTCTGTTAGATAATAGTAGCATTCCCATGCAACCGCCTAATCTAAGTAACCAAATTAACTAAAATTGTATTGCACCCAAGATTGGAAAAATCTGTAGAAGTAAAAGAAACACAGCCCATCAACGTTAAAGTGAAAGCAATCGAGACAGATTTATTCACCTGGCACTGCTCGTTGCTTTCTTTTCCTTGATGCCAGCAGCAGCGCCAGACTGGTTGAGGCTCGCTTTCTTCACTTTGGCCTTGATCTCGTTCTCAGTCTGGGCTAATTTTCTAGCATTGGGAAGCTCCGGGAAACTTTCCACCGACATATTGTCGTCGTTTTCCAGATCTGGACTAACCAGCTTTCTGCCAAGTATCTCCATGTACAAGGTAGCAGCCTCCTTCGTCTTTCGTGTCGGTCTTCTCATTACTACGTTTGTCGTTGGTGTTGGAGGTCTTGTTACAGGCGGTGTATTGGCTTTTGAACGAGTCACCCGTCTGTCCTCCAAGTCTTTCTTCTTTTTACTCGCAAGTTTGTTTTGTAACGACTTGCTTGTGGCAATGACTTTAGCTGACGGTGTCTTTTTCGTACTGGTCTTGACAGAAAAAGAATCGACGCTCGAAGCATCATCCTTTGGAGCAATCTTCTTTTTTAGCTTTGCTGGTAAGTCTTTCTTGACAGTCTTCAGTGGTAAGCTCTGTTGCTCGCTCTCTGGCAACCCAGTGCTTCGTAGCCCACGTCTTGTGCTCTCGATGCGCGAAGGAACTTTTTTATTAACAGCCACTTTTGGTGACACGGTAGGTTTCACTGGTATTGGGTCGGCAGTGACAGTAGCGTTCGAGCGCGTCTTCATGACGCTTGGCTTGTACTTTTTCAGACGTTGCTTAGCCAGCCTCTGTTCCTGGTACTTTTTTTTGAGCGCCTGGATTGCGGTGCTTGTGCTCTTGAGTTGAGGCGCTGCTGCTGGCACCTGCTTTTTCGTAACAATAACCATCTTTTCCTTGGTTTGTTTTTGAGCAGAGACACTATGGGAAGCTTTCGACGATGCTGTTGACTTCCCACATGTGCCGTTTGCTTTGGAATGAGCGGTGGATATACCATTGAGCTTAGCTGCATCTTGTGCTTTTTCTTTTCTAGGATTTGCATCGAAAAAATTAAGACTTGGAGGTAGAATCGATGTACCTAAAAATTATTTCAGTTATAAGGTTTAATAATTGATTCAATAAGATAATGAGTGAAAAATATGGTTTTTCTTTACAAGCATACCTCGGAAGCATAAAAATGTCAAAAAGTCATCTGCCTTTGGCCTTTTGTGCGGTATCAGCTCATGAAACACGGCTGCTTTTGACTTATCCTTTTCCTTGAGAGGCGTGCTCGCAGGACTGTAAGCAGGAGTGGCTGCTCCTTGCGCAAACTTTCTTTGTGCGTGTATTTTGTTTCTGAAGTAATGGATAAAATATAAATGAAGAAAAAAAAACGCTCAAGAATGTTGGTACCGCACCTGAAATTTATCAAAAAATAATACGTGGTTTTACCTCTTTGGGAGCTCAGCTAATGGATCCACGAGATCCACAAGATCTCCTTCCTTCCTTTTTCTCTTGTCATTTCTGTTAAGAACCATTTTTCAATTCCGAGGTCTTGGTTGTTATTTATTCCATAAGGGAATATCTAAATGAAAAAAAACAACATTTTTTTCTTCAATGTTCAATTGCATTGGAAATCAATGAATAAACGTCACACAAAAACAATTTTACCACCCTACAGTATGTAACTGAAAACACTTAATCCAAACTCAGAATAGTTTATGAAACATACACAGCAGGATATCTGTGTACAAACAAACCAATGACCTTCCAGCTTCCAGCATCGTCACTCGCCTCTCATAGACAAGTACCTAAGTATAGGTATATATACAAAAGCTAAAAATTAAAACTCTATTGTTGTCGCTTCCAGATACTTGTCGCCCCTGCATATACACACTCTAAACAAAACAAAAACAATGGCCCCTGCAACATGATTTCATTCTTACTCCCTATTTCTATAAGCTATTTTTACATTTAAATTACAAGTAAGTAAGTACACGAATCGCTTTAACAAAAGTCAAATTTCAAGCTTTCCATCTCACTCCAAATATATCTCCTTATACACGTATATAGTGGGTACGTAAGCTAAATATTGTGTATATTTTGTGTAAGTATACATGGGTTATATATATCTTCTATAGATTATATGTATATATACGTATGATACGTACGTGAGCCTCGTCGAGGACGCAATGGACATCCGATGACTTCCCCAGGGAAAAGAAGCGACCGATCCAAGGAAGGCCATAATAATATTAATCTTCTTTTGATATGTGCACCACTACAACGTCACAACTATAAAAGCAACAGCAGATGAGCAGAACAGAGGAAACAACGCACCACGTAGGATCCTTTTAACTCTAACTATATATAAAATATCTCCTGCACTTCACATCTCCACGCGACCTTCTTCGCTGAGCAACTGACTCTTGCTACTATTAGTAAAAGTATACTGCAACTGATGGTGATCGTGGAGCGTGCGGAGACTGCGGAGCTAATGCTGCGTGGGATCGTACACATATATGCATATAGGGTATAAATATAAAGTAGTGTTTAGGGTGTGTTTGCATTCACCTATACCTACATATCGTACTTGGATCACTTATTATATATTTTTTTAGTTTTATCAATCGCAAAAGTGGATCACGCCGTATCCCGTTGGGCGTATTTAAAAAAAAAAAAATGTAAATTATACTCGGTAACATATTTCGCTCGCAAATTCATTGGATATTTAAAAATATATATAAATACGTTTTTCACACCACCGAATACACATAACTTGAATAACATAATAATTTAATTGTTGTGTTATCGTTGATTTGTCGTTGTTGCAAATGTTTTGTTAATGAAGGGTGACTACATGGTCGGTCAGAGAGCGAGAGATATATATCTGATTGACACGCATGTATTAAAAAACAATTACAAACTAATAGTGCCTTTTAAATGGCTCCAATCGAAAAACGATTTAATTTTTAATTAATGCTCGATTAAAAATGAATATTACAAACGAGCAGCAAATACGCTGTGACAAGGAGTAAAAAAAGAAAAAGCCAAACGTACAAAGTTGCAAATATTTGAACAACCGATGGGAGCACGTTGTGTACTTCTACAAATTACAATTGTTGTACTTGAAACTGTTGGAACAATGTTTGGGTTGCATATATATGTATTAAAGTAAAAATTTTCAATTAAAAATTTGTACGAGGGATTAAGATTAAACGTATTGTAGAGCGACGAATGAAATCTTCTCTCCCCTAAAAATCAGGCATCGGCAAAAATGATATGGCTCACCCTCTTCCTCTAATAATTATTACACACACACACACCGAGAAATAGGGGATGCGCAATAACACACGTACGTATTTATGTATACCTCCCCTTCTTACTTTTTTGTAAACGTGCACATCCCCCACAGGGAGATGGGGGGCACGAGAGAGAGAGACAGACGTAATCCTCCTTCTCAATTTTGTACGCTTTATCTCTTTTTTTCCCCCTCGCAAGCATATAGGTAATGGTTCACATATATTGTAAATAGCGCACATGCAGGCGGATGTGTGCTGTCATCCGTGCCTTCTTCGCGTGTGAGCCGAAAGCTGCAGCTGAAATGAGCTGTCTGCGTTTCCCTAACCGACAGCTCTCAGGATTTTTTGGAAAATTAATTTTTTTGTTCGTTATACTTAAGTGCTCTTTTGGCCTTCCTTGAAAATAATTTTTATAAATCTTTTTCCCGTTAATTAATTGTACGCTTAATTAATTCGTATATGGTACACGGATGCAACGAGCAGACATATATAATTAATACATTCGGAATAAAAAATTGTACCTGGGATTAATCTTACTAATGAATGAAACAAAAAAAAAAAAAGGTTTTTTAATATTTATAAATTATATGCTCAATTGAAAAAGTCTTGTCAATTATGTTGTTCCTGTCCATTATTACAAGGGTAATTAAGTTATTATGTCATAAGTACTCAATGTAATCCCTTACATGTATATAACTTTTTATATAAGCAGTTCCATATTTATGTTCAACACTAAATGTTTTCATGTTACGTACATGTTTCATGATAAATATGAAAACAGTCGAAGAAAGTACTGATTTCCCTGAATATCCTACATATTATATTCTGTTGATAAAATGTATTTGTTTGTGCACCATATAATATGTATACATATGTATCATGTAGTAATGAGCAGTAAGTATATACATTAACACGTTCTGGAAGTATCACCCAAGCATTATTAATTATTTTTATCGCGTTGTACCCATACACCAGAAAAAGTCGCGATAAATTGATGATTGGGCGTTCAATAATTCCATGCAATTTACGGAATAGCAAAATATAGTGGCGATTACGTATTATCTTTCCAAAAGATCGGGTATTACTTAAATTTTCAAGACGATAGAAGAAATTACTTTTTTTTTACTAATTTGTGGAAAAAAAGAGGGGCTTCGTCAACCTATGCGATAAAAATACGCGTACCGGTTATCGTCCCGATTATCAAAGTCAAGAAGCGTTGAATAGTATATAGGTACACCAATGGGTGATCCACTTGGGAATCACACGTTCTGTTGACACCTTCATTTGGCTTTAATTTTTAACCATGTAATTTGATAATGCGACAAAATTTGAGCACTTGTTAATTTTAAAATTAAATGATTTCTCGATGGGGTGATTAAAAAATCGCTTACGCCATGAATATCTAAATAAAAAGGCAAAACAATAATTTTCTCGAATGAAAATAACAATTACGATATTGCTTACCAAAATTTAATTTTATATTACTATAATTATATTCCAGTTGTTACAAGCATAGGTGTTTAATTTTTATTCAAACGACAAAGTATATTGTATTATTGTATCACTGACTTAAATATATTGAGCAAAATTAGTGACGATTTTTGCATTAATTCATGCCCAAGCATATAGCTCTCTTGAACTTGTTTATCACGTTAAAATAATAAAATTCAAACATTCTCTCTACATTGATTGTATTTAATTTTCCACAGAATTAGTCTTTGTCACGAGCATAAATAAGTCTGATTCTCAAATTGATCAGTCAAAACATTAAATAAAGTAATATCTTGATAATAATATCTCGCTTCGTTTTGATATTTTTTAATCTTTTTGCTCAATGAATTTTCACCAGTAATAAAAACCATATCCAATTCATTTACAGAAGATCCTTTTGCCACTGTAATCGTAATCACTATAAAAATTAGTTTTATCAAATTTACTTCGAATCTTTTAATTCAGGATAAGACGCCAAACTGAAAGTTAATAAGATCAGAATAGTCATATCTTTTGAATTTTTCTGGCTTATATCGTGATTCTTTTTTTCGAAAAATAAGATGCAATGTAATCCATCCTGGTTAATTGCACACCTCGTCGTATGATTTCTTTGGGAAATTCTATGTTACAGCATTTTATAACATGATGCAATAAAAAATAATTACCGTCAGTTTCATCTGATGCATTGATATCAATATCACAGTTCACTAGATGATTGATGGCAATCCGAAGCGAGGTGACTGATGTAAAGTAGGATAATGGCATTGTTTGCCAGGTTTGAGCATTCCTCCGTGCTCCAGAAGAAATCAACTGGTCATTTCGTCTCTCATACCATAATTGACATTGTATCAGTATAAAGGTGTGTATGACCAGTAATTAAAACTATTAACATCAGCCCCAGCACTTGTTAAGAGAGTAGCTCAGCAGCTTTGAGACAATCGTTTTTAACGTCTATTCCGAACTATGCTGTATTACCATTTTCGTCTCTAATATAAACATTAAAATTGTGCTTTAAGTATATTTAATACTATCTAGTGTCCAAAGTCCAAGTGTTAGTATACTCTAAAAAGTTAAAAGAGTAAACAAAAGTTGTCAACCCAGAAAAGTAGGTAAAGTCATAGATAATATGGATATTTTTCCACGTTACATTACTCTGAACTTGGAATTTCTACACTAATAATAAGTTAAGTAGTGATAAGTACTTATTGGTAATAAGTATCTTTTTCATACACTTGCAGTTAGTTGTAACATCATACCTAGTACAGACAGTTCTCTCGCAATTCGCAAAATCCGTTCCGGGGGTTTGTTTGGGATATCCGGTGTGTTGAGAGAGAGCCGGGTTGTTTGGACACTTTGGACCGATTTACATAAAAAATTTGAGGGCTGTGATTGGATGCAGAATGACTTCTCTCTCGCGCCCTTTTGTCGTTTCGAACATTTCAAAGTGTGTTAACCTTGCAACGCTCACTCTTTCAAACTTTAACTTGCAAACACATATTTTTATATTAGCATAATTATTTGTAAGATATTTCATTAATCTCGTAGTTCCCCGGCCAGTACATATTTTTCTTGTGCGTCATCATCGCTCTCGTTCTTTTTATCGCGTCGCCAATGTCGCCGTCATGCGAATACGCCACATCATCGGTACAACAATTGTAGTTTAGCCTTAGCAGATTTTCAGTTGCAATCGCTCCTTAGTCGTGTTCTTATCTTGTGGGCTGGTTGCGTCGCCGCTAGTGTCGTGTTTGATGTTGCACGCAAGCACATCCGCTCTTATACATTTCCTTACCCATCTTAATTTTTTTTAAAAAGAAAAATCAAGAAAATCCGTGGAATACAAACAACAAATGCACGCGCGTGTGTGTGTGATCTATGGTGTACAGTGTAGTTAGTAGCTGTTAGAGGTTAATTTTCACGTTGTGGAAGACGAAGGGAAGGCTAATAAAGCAGCAGGTGCAAAAGGGGCGCGAAAACGCCCTCGAGGATGCCCATCCTCAAAGTAAAGGAGGAAACATGAGACTCCACGTGGCGTACGTCTACTGGATGCTGCTCTTGGTTTCTGCGCTCTCTAGGTGAGAAATCGCAAGCTGATCTGCGTTTTTTACCGGCTGTACCTGTATAATATTATGTATTGTAATGTAGGGCGTCAAGATTGCGTCAGACTTTTTTTGTTTTTTCAATATTTTTGCAGTATCATCTTTAAGTTTTTTAAAGATTATTGTATGTGAGGCAAGTACTTTGATTGTTAAGAATGCAAGCCCTTTAGTGTTGGAGGGAGGTGCATCATTGTTTTAACGGTTACTTAAAGGGACTGTGTCGTCGTCTGCAGTACAAGCTGCACGACGAAGGGGGGACGAGATGATATCATCATCAAACGAGTTTCTTGTTTACTGATAATGGGCAAAATTTTACGCATGTGCATAAATTTCGACTGGGTTTTTCAAACTGATACCACTTTTAACGAATTTGATGAGGATAAATGTGTAAGGTGTATTTATTGGTAAAATATAAGATGATTGTTCAGTTGAACAAACTGCTACGGAGTATATTCTCAGATATGAATTGCTTATCAATAGTAGGAAATGCTTTCCCACAAGTGATCAACAAATACCTAGTATGTTGTTTCAAGTGTAAAAGTTAGAACCTGAAATTGCTTATTACTCTTTGAAAACTGTTACTTTTTATGTGAGAAAAATTGTGTTTACAGTTATGCTCAGCAAGTCAGGACATACCTTAACCATGTGTCTAACAAAACGATAAATTTACAGTTATATTAATTGGAATGAAAAAAAAAAAAAATGTTAATATTCATTTAATATCATGAGAATGAAAAATACATATTTTTATTTCAGTGGACTGCTTTTTTTAATCGTTGCTTCTGAAAATGTTCAGTCCAATAAATTTATTGGTCCTGACAGGAATCAAGACCTTTTGCAAGAGGATAATGTATCCATCGTGGAGAACATACAGAATGACTTTGATACCGACCACCACGCAAAATCAAATCTTAAGATTCTTTCCCCCCTAAAGTCTGATTTAGGAGATCAAAATTATCAAGTAAGTCTATTTTTACAATTTTTAAATATATGGTGTACGAAAATAATTTTTTTTTTTTTTAATCTTCCATAAACATTTTGATAAACAAACCTAGTTTTCGGTTTCTGCAAAAAATATTTGAAAAATTTTACTGCTTAAAAATTTAAATCCTTAAATTTGCATTGATGTTTCAGGATTTTTCTCCACCGCTTTCCGCAAGCTTTGAAACCGCAAACAAAAACGAAGAGCCCAAAATCCCAGAGGAAATAGACTTCCTCAAGGAAAGTTTGAGCAAGCAGCCCAATTTATCTCAAGGGTAAGTGGAAATTCCGTATGTCCTAAAATTATGATAAATTCATAATCTCTTGGGAAAAAAAAAAAATCCCCATCTGATTTTAATGTATGCACAACTATACTTAAAGCAATCGAGAGTTCGTTGAATGAATTACTTATCTCGCGTGCAAGTAAACAGAAACGCGCGCCCATAAATAGAAGTGTTATTAACTTGAAGAGATTCTCGTTGAACGTAGTAAGTATAGTGCAGCGGTCGCGAAAAAAAAAAGAACACTCGTAATCTCTCTCCAAAACGTCAGCAATCACCCACGAGAGAGGAGGGAGAAGAGTGATGGCGGTGTCTTGTGTATACGCACACGTAAACGACGCGTTACCACTGACGTGTGGTACATCGATTTAAAATCGCCGCACACAGATCGTGTAATCGGCTCGTCGTGTGTGTATCCCCAGTTACGTCAGTAATTAGCTTTTTGCGCGTTTGTGTATGCGGTTCTGTTTGGAAACCCTTCCTGGGCGGTTGGGGGATATATATATATATGCACACTCTCGTGTCGAAAAGAAATAGAGAGAGGAAAAAAATGCGGTGTCTAGGTCGCGGGCGATCTGAGGAAGCCTCGTCAAGAGAGGCTATTTAATCTGTATCGATTGGCCAGTCGCCTTTTTTTTCCACCGTACAACGTACACTGTCCGTTTTAATAAGTATACATACGTGGCCGGATTAAAACCGTCTGGGCGCAACAACAATGCGAAAGTCGTGCGCACTTATTTTTTATTCTTTTGTTTACTTTGCGAAATCGCGAGGTGACAGGGCTTTATATTAGACAACGGCGAATTTGCTCGTCGATAAGATAAGCGTGGGATTTTTGATAAGTTGGATGTTTGGGGGATGAGTAAAGTTATGCGGTTAAGAGAAAGGGAATACTCAAGATATGGTACAAATAGAAAGGAATACTTGAACAATTGTCTTTTATTTTTTGGATATCGTATTAAAACTACACTGCGCATTATATTTTGACACCTCGTTCATTTAGTCTTCGAGTCGCTAAATGTTTTTATTGCAAAAATCTGGTTCTTTCGCGAAATGGAAAGAAACGCGACGAGCTTGCTCCATATAATGCTGGTAAGAAATACCAGTATATAAACTTGTTTTGCCATATTTAGTCGGTGACCCTATTTTCCAAACACGGCAAATAGTAGATGACTTATTTTTACAACAATCCCACCACGACTCGTGGGTCATTAAAGTTCTTTTTATTTTAAACACTTTTTCATGATTAGCTGTGGCTGCCACATAAATCAATCAGTCGCGTCATTGAATGTAAAAATGATTTTTTTTTTTTTTTTTTTTTTTCAAAAACTGCAAACGATGGCACGCGTTGTTGAATATTATCCCCTAATTTTTCATAACCGTAATTCAATACTTAAAAAACATTACAATCTACTTGGGCAGGGCGCTGGTAACAATAAAGCGAAGGTCCTGTACTCGTATTGATTCTGATGGTAAATTATTCATACCGATTTTACGGATAAAGCTACAATTACCGGCTTTTAAAAAAAACCTTATGCCTAATGACAAAAAAAAAAAAAAAGAGAGAAAAAAAAAGAAAAGAAACGCAAGCAGGACTTCCTGAAACAGTACATGAGTAAATAGCAGCGGAAGTATTCTGACGTGAGATGATAGCAACCATGTAATATATAGTTGGATGAACGGCGTATCAAATATGGGTATACATGAATATGCGTGTAATATATTTATGTGGCGGCGTTATGCGTATTTGTACGTGAGCAGAGTCTCGAGGGCAAACGTCACCGAGGCGAGGATGGTGAAAATCCCGCTGGGCAGGAGTTGAATCTCCTGGGGCATGATGGTGTTCTCGTCCAACTCGATTATCAGTATGACGCCGGCTATGCAGCACAGGCTCGACGCCACGCCCGAGAACAGCATCAGCTGTGGACACAAGAGATGATATAGCGACGTGTGGCCGTTTTTTTTTTTTTTTTAATTGTGTTCAAAAAATTCTGCTCACCATTTTCTTCGGCAGCTTGTCGCCGAGAACGCTAGAAAGTACGAATATCAAGTTTGTCAGTGTGAAACCGTAGAGCGACGTGAAGACAATCGCTCCCTCGATGTCGGTGAAACTGTTGAGAAAATCCCGGCGGATTCTGTAATCGTCCAATGGGTTGTTGGTCAGGCATATCGCGGTGATGCATAAAATCTGCAAATCGTATTTTCGAAATCACCATATGGGAGATGTAATTTTCATATGTGGTACAATCAAAAAAACAATTTTTCAGTCAGTTTACGCTAAAGATATTTATGGTAATTTTTATTACGCGGAGTTACAATAAAATTTTTAAAAAATTTTACAGCTCGTAAAAAAAGCGTATTTTTAAAAAAATTTTCATTTAGTTTCAAATTTTATGTCGCCGTGTTAGACAAAACAGTTCATAACTTTTTTTTTTTTATTTTTTTTTTTAGAAAAATACAATTCTGAAACAATGTTTCTTCTCCATATAGGCGTCAATGCGTTCATTGCATGTCCAGATGCAAGCGATTTTTAAGATAAAATACACATTTCATGGTAGCAAATTTTTATCAGTTTTCGTATTTTGTGAAATTAAAATTATCGTCCTTTACACTCATAAAAAGATTACGTTACGTATAAAATGTAAAAAAAACTTTTTATGATCAAATTGTTATTTTTAGTTGAACCGCCACACGTTTATTGTAAATTTGACACCAATGGCAAAATTTTACGGTGTGGATTGCCAAAGGTGTTGAAAGATAGTTTGTATAAACTTGATCGCAATTAATATTTCTCATCAAGCAAAAAAGACCGCTTTTTTTTACTAACCACTTCGATAGCTTTGCAGACGAAAAAGGACGTTTTCTTCGGATTCTTCGTCACCACCTTCACGAAGTCCGACTTAACTCTTCCAAAATCATTGTGCCTGCCGTCGCCTTCCTCGGCCATTGTTCTCCTCTTCGATGAAAACAAAAACTCAACAACAATCCTTACTCGGGCACTGCACTTCACCGAGTCCACGACGACTGAGAAAGTCAACTATGTCCACTTGTCGAATGTAAACGCCGAGACATGGTGGCCTGTCCTGATCATCATCTTCCCCCTTCCCTCGTCACGACTTCTTGTTGTCTTACTTATATTTTCCCGAGGCCTCAAGTGCTTCATTTGATTCGCAATTGTCGTAATTCATAAATACTCCCTCCCCCCAGGCACACCTACTTGGCGATGCGCGATGGCCTACGTACATCATGTGTGCCCTGCATCATCCGCCATCACGTACATGTAGAGTGGACACGTGTGTTGAGCTAGAATTTTTCGTAATTAGCCGTCGACTTTAATTCGTTACGGCTTTTTGTGGTGACGCTACTGTACGGTGACCTCAAATTTTTTTTTTTTTTTCTACTAAAAAGCAAGACCGAAATTTAGTGTAATTTGTTTAGTGCACATCCAACGAAGTATAGACGAAATTTGTAAACTACAAAGAGCCTCCTTTTTTTCTTTATTTACCAAGAAGGAATCATTACATGTGATTTATTTATTTTATATATATATAACAAACGCAAGCGACACAAGTGGTCACTTTTCAAGCGCAAGTTCGAGATAAAGAGACAATTTTCAAGTTCAAGTATACAATATGTATATATGCTCGTGTTATCTGTCGACCGGCAAGTGTATCGCTTGAGTGTATATTACATTTGGTCGAGTAAGGTATAATCTTACAAAACACGCCAGGAGTAATCAATAGACTTGCTCAAAAAAACAGGAAGAAAGAAAGAAGGGCGTGAGAGGGGGGTGCGGGAGGCTCAATTAAGATGGAAAACACGTTTCAACGAGGCGAAACGTGGGCGGGTGTCGTAACGCTCCACTTCATGGGTTCACTTGAGTTTTCATAATACGTATGTATATATAAATATATGAATGTGACACACGCCACGTGGCCCTTCCCTCCCGCACACACTATACTTCAAATGGACCTAATTTTTTTTTCTCTACTGTTTATTCGCACTTTTGGATGCTACTCGAATTTGATTACTTAAAAAACTCGGACGTTACACTAAATTCTTTTGTTGTTTTTGAGTATACGTCATCATAGCGTATTAAATAAGTTTCGCTGAAATCGTTGATAAAATTACTAACTTTGCAAAGAAAAATGTATTCTCTATCATTGAAAAAATCATTTTATTTTTATCTAACGGAACAGAACATGAAAAAAAAAAACATGTATATTATAGACTTCACGAAACAGATGTAACAACGTTTGTATCTGATGGCTTTGCCAAAAGAAACATCGCAACACCTGTGTTACATCGAGTAACATTTGAACACTGCATTGAATTGTTTATGTCGTGGATACAATGCATGACAAGGTATATTATACGTCAACTGTTCCGGCATAACTTTTGAGATATCCCAAAAGTAATAATGCGTAGGTATTTATCGCAGTTGAATTTAAAAAAAATATATGTATGCAGACACTGTCATGCCAGTAAATTAACCACTTCAACGTAATCGGATTACCACCCGCTATATGTAGGTATAGGTACTTTGAGCTGCGCATTCGCATTATTCGCGTAGGGCATGCGGAAGTCTCGAAACAAATGGCTTTCTCTTCTTCTTTGATTACTCTGTTTGTTAAATCTTCCCCACAAACAACGTCCATCAAGCTGATCATACATAATATTATTATGTACTTACAAGTGCTTGTCATCGGCACATTTTTATATATAATTAATACTTAATGTATTATCATAATTCATAAGTGATGTAAGTTGATATTAAAGATAATTTCTTCGTTAGAATTTTCTTTAAACTTTGAAGTAAAAAAAAAAAAAAAAAAAAAAAAACAGTAAAAACGCAACGTCAGCAACGTGCGGTGCAACACACTAAGCTCGACTCTTTCGTTTGCCCTTATCGATTTTATTTTAAACGGGTTTCCATCTATCCGTTTAATTGGTATCGATCTTTGAGCATGTCGTCGCAAAAGGTAGAATAAATTAGAAGAAAAAAAAAAAATTGTTTTTTCTTCAATATACTTATTCGTCGACACGTGGCATACTCCTTCTGTATTGACTTGGTTGACGTCTCGTATATACGTACGTGCTTCATGAGAATAAAAATCAATTAGTTATTATCAATTATTCTACCCGTCGTTTAATCATAAAGATTATGAACACATTTATATTCTATCATTAAATTAAAGTAAATGATTCTAGGAAAGTTTTTTTTTTTTTTTTTTTTTTCATCAACTACATATTAATTTATATTTAATAGGTTCTGGTGAGGCGCCAAAGCCATTCCAACTGTGTCTTGTTGCGTCGTAAAACGTGTACCCCGAACACTTGTTTTCTTAAAACAAAACATTTTCTCCTTTACGAGGTGCAGTAATAAATACATAAAAAAATGTATCCTCACGTCCCTGCAAGTATATGTTGTATACAACGCATTTTAACACGGTAAATGTTAATTTTGACGCAAACACCGTGCGTTTTCCCTTGTATATCTCCTTGATCTAAAACCGTATACATTACACACGTGTCGTTCATCTCTTACCTTCCCTCGTTTTTTTTTTTTTTTTTTTTTTTTTTTTTTTTTTTTTTTTTTTTTTTTTTTTTTTTTT